ACTGACCAAAGGGGTATTCCATACCATATGACATCATGTTCAGTGTATAAAGCTGCGGGAAGAAGCAAGAAGGGGAGGACATTTAGAGTGATAGTGTTTGTCTTCCCAAATAACCACTACGTGTGATGAAGCCCTGCTTTCCTGGAGATGAACATCAGCCTGCCAATGGGAAGCAGTGAATTCATTCCTTGTTTTACTTTGCTTGTGTGCACGGCTCTTGCTTTACCTATTAAACTGTCTTTATCTTAAGCCATGAGTTTTCTAACCTTTACCCTTCTGATTCTCTCCCCTACCTGACCAGGGGTTGGAAAACAAGTGGCTGTGTAGTGCTTCGTTGCCAGCCGGGGTTAAACCACAACAATCTCCCACTGACAAACCTAATATACAATGTGATCGTTAACATTTAAATTGCATACATCTAGTCTAAAAAGAACGGCATTAAGGAATAACAATCCCAAAGATTGATTTGAGGTACTCTACTAATAGTCTCCTAACAGCTCAGACAGCAGAGGACAGATTAGTTTGGCATAATCTCTCTTTAGCACCCTTATGATAACTCTCATTCCATTTAACTCAATGTTTGTAATTATTCATTCCTTTAGTAATTGTTCTGGAGTACTACTGAAGCCAGAGGAAGGACAGGTGTGCTTGAAAATTCCCACTTTCTAAATTTATTAGCTGGTCCAATAAAACATGCTGGCATAGGTTGGTCTCATAGGCTTGTTAAAATGCCTCACCAGCAGACTCACCATTTTGAGTAACAATTCTCTCAATATGAGAGAACTGAAAGAGCAGTCCATCCACTCCAGTGCATTAGGTGCTTTGAAACTTGCCTCCAGTTTCATTGGGACAGTTTCTGTTTTTCCAATAATTATTTAATATTTTCTCTTGGATTTATCATCATCTGTAAAATGGTAATCTGTACCAGGCTGCTCTTAGATCCAGACAGTGGATCTGCACAAGCAGAATTCCAAATCTCTGAACATCTGATTTATTCACACAGGGTCAAAGGAAACATAAAAGGATACATAAGGACTGAATCTATATTTCTCAATTGCTTTACTAGCGCAGCTGCCAGATCCATGGCTGGGACCAAGAAAGCTAAAAAGAAACAAATTCAAGCAGGTTTTTTCAGCACAGAGACACTAACAGTGGCCAAAAAACATTCTGGTTGAACCATCAACCAGAACAAACCGATTGTTACCAGAGCTAGAAAGCACTGGCAAGACTGCCCAACACTGCCTCTGAAAGAGCCCATGCAACAATGCAAAGGAGAGACGATGTTTGCAGTAAAAGCTGATGCACTGAACCTTCTCAGTGACACAAGAGAAGGGTGGCAATGGCAATCACCTTCTATATGATGTCAGTGTTGAGCTCTACCACGACTTGAGAATCTCAAAGCTGTGAACGGCATCTTAAACCCTGAAAACAAAGTTGCTTTACAATGACTGTTACCAAGCTTTATGACAGGTTTCAAGGACTACCAGAGCCAAAAAGACTCCATTGTGTATTGCCCTTCTTTGATAACGATGGACTTACTTTCAAGCAGCACGCTGGATATTTGTTACATAGACTTCAGACGGTAAAGAGGTACCTGAGAAGTGTGAATGAGAACACCATTAAAAGGGTTTCTCAGACTGAAGAGTCCGAAGTTGTGAGAACTGCTGACTACCTTATTTTCAGATTACAAGCAGGATGCTTGAGATTTTCTGATGTAATGAAAAAAAATGTTCACAGGAAAGTGCTTTTGAGCAAGCCAGTAAGTACTCTGAAGTAACCAGGGATTTCCCTGTATCATTTACACAATAATGGCTGGACAATCAAGAGGGAGAATCCTGATCTAAGACTGCCTTTAATTTTCCATACAGCTCCATGCTTGCGACTCCTTACATAATATAGGACTCTTCGCAAAAACAGATGTGAAGAGGAAGCTATTTTCTTGTCCTAGAAAGAGCAGCCTAAAGTCTCAGTCTCCCATCACACTTCAGAAATTAAACCCCAGACAGTTTGAAGGCAACGCTCAACTCAACATAATCGATAACCTAGGCAATTAAATTGTCTGTGGTGATGAGGACACCACAGTCAAACTACCATCCTGTCATTCCTCCACATCCAAAGGAAGGGATCTTGAGGAATGAACACATTTAATGAAACCTATTTTGTCTAAAAAAGTTCCCATCTAGCTATACTTAAGAGAAAGACTTGCTCAAATACTATTCTCATCTAGCAACTACTAGACAGACTGCAAATATTAAAAAAGCATATCATAACAAGACAGTCCTCACCACACTACAGCACAAGGGCTAAAGAGACTTCTGTCAAGTTACAAATTCACTGGTAATTATGACTAAGTCTTCTGGAATTTCATAGCTACAAACAGCAATTAATAAAACACTTACATTCTCTTTAAATTAAATAACAAGTGTAGAACTGATTTCCATTCAGAATTTCTTGCTTACGACTTTCAGATTATCAGCAACAACTGATGATACTGAGGGAATTACAATGATGTAACTCACACAGGCTATATTCACCATTTTCTAATGTTCTAAACAAAAGAGGCATTTAAGTTTATAGAAATAAAAATATTTTTATTTAAGAACACCCTATTTGTATTCTAATCTCTTTCCAAAGTTATTTAAATTGCCTTAAGAATCATACCTTCATCAAAGTAACTGACAGTCAATATTCTTTGAAACAGGCTTATCAATGCCTTAAGATGTGAAACAAGCGGAAATAAGGAACCATGATTTCCAGACTATCCAAGTGAAAAGTAATTTACTCATTTTACAAGTGAGTATTCTCTTTATGGATAACAGGAGCAGCAATGAAGCCTTTGCAACCACATATGTAAGCACACAGGGTCTGTATTCCAGAGCTTTAATCTCCTCTGAAAATAAAAAAAAAATTCTGGAAGCAGTTTGGGTGCATACATAGTTAGCAAAAACTGGTAAAAGGTGGGATATGAAGAGAATCTTACTAATATATATACACAATTTTGGTCTGAACACACATTAACAAAAAGGATGATAAAAAGCAACCTTGAGATTCCTCAAAACGTAAAAGCACTGTGACATTAATTACTGACTTAATAAAGACATATGAAAAGGCATAAAAGCTGCTTATCTGTATATTAACACACAATAAACTAAGTAACAGGTGAATTAAATTTATGATAAAATAGAGTCTTTATCTCATGGAAACTAATGTTTCTCTGAGTGTAATTCAGCCTATTAATTTTGTATTTTTTGTGAAGTAAAACTAATTTCAGTCATGAGGAGATAAGATAGTCTATCAATTCAGTAGTCCCCTTACAAAGGCAAATAATGTAAGGTGCTTCAAAGGTCTGAAACTCTCAGTCACAAGAACTACACATCAGTACTGTAAGATGCCTTCTCACCCATAGAGTTACCTCGTCGTTAACTCCTGAAGGACAGAGACTAATAAATAACAGTAGATGCCTCTGTTACTCATGTATCTACTCCTCTTCGGAGTCTCTTTAACCTTTTGACCTCCATTTTATCCTGAGGAATGATCTTCCTAGGGCACATATGCAATGTAAAATTTTCAGTGTTTCAGATTTAATGTATAGAATGTGTTTATGAGAAAGAGCAATACTATAATATTTTTACATTACATGTTGTCCTTGGTATGCCATTCGTTATTCATAATAAAGTGCCATTGAAAGTGGCAGTGCAATCACTATCTTCATTTACCATCAATAAAACCAAACTTGACTCCTTTATAAAATCATGGCAGCGTCTAGAGCCAGTTACATCCAGGCTGAGGGACAAGGAACTAAGAAGGCAAAGAGGAGTACACAACCTTCCCATAGTGGGGATACAAAGAACACACGCTACAAACTGAGGGATCACAATTCCTTTATCACTCGTCATTCTGAATTCTGCTCATCTCCAAACTGAACCATCACCCAAAACAAAAGTACAAAGATTTTGAGTTACGTGAGTAGAAAAATTATGCTGGATCCTGTTTGAGTGCAGATGTAAGATCCAGCAGGATAAATACGACAGAGCTAAATACAACAGAGATGAACACAGAGCTGACTTACAGTTTCAAGCCAAGAAAATTTCTTTCCTTAAGGACTACTTTGTTTGCACATTCTTTGCAAGTAAAGAGCAGTCAAATATTTCTGCTAAGGTCTATTGCTGATTTCTCTTCATAAAAGGAACAAGTACACAGATATTTTCTTTCAGCTTACGTATTAGGAAATAAAACGTTCGGAGGAATTCACATGCAGCTAGTGTATGCTCACAGCAAGCTGTAAGCTTTTTTTTTTTTTTTTAAATCGTACTGTCCCTGTCCATTGTATGTTTTACGAAAAGGTACCAGGAAAGTGATTCTGGCTTAGGTACAGTTGTTTGGTGTAACAAATCTATATTCTGCTTTTAACAGCAGCAATGTTCATGTGGTAAAACTATTTCTATAAAAAGACAAAAAAAGCCCAAGTTTTGTTTTTACTTAGCTTACCACCTTGAAAAATACTTCATAACTTCAAGAAAGTTAATTATTCATGTGCATAATTCCTAATAATGATGCATTAATACAAATCACACCTTGAAAAATACTTCATAACTTCAAGAAAGGAATTATGCACATGAATAATTAACTAATAATGATGCATTAATACAAATCAATCAATCAGCTGACTTTGCTTTGCTTTGAACTTAGGGAAATTTCCTAAATTTTTTGCTTATCAGAGATGTTAAAAACATGTAAACTGCTGTGTTGTTCTGTAAACAAATGCTGCCAACAACAGTATTTAAGACGTATTTCACAAAAATAAAACTATTAGAAGAATTAAAACATAGACAGGAAGGGTTTTTTATGTACTTCCAAAGCTAGAATACAGAAACTACAAAATTTCAATTTTAGGAAAAGCTGAAATATAAAACAACTATTCATCTAATCATCTTACTATACAAAAAGGAGATGAAAGCATGTGTTTTCAAACATGAAAGCTGTACAGTTTTGAAACAAACCTTGTCCATTAGTTTACTTGCATGAAGACTCAGGCTATTAAAGAATATCTTCTTGCTCAACAAATGCATTTCTTCAATAGTTGTCAACAGTGTGGCTGCACTGTTTCCTACAATACCACTGAAAACAAAATTAAGACTAATTAAATAATCTGAAGGCGGGGGGAATGTGACAGGGTCAGATACTTTAGATAGTATTTCAAATACAATTTTTTCAAAGTTGAAAATTTACAACAAATAATTGCAGGGAACAGTTCTCCATATTAGCAGAGAGATTCAGTCATAAGATGACTGTGAGAACAAGCATTATCAACTATGTCATTAAGCAGATAGTACAGGCTATCTAAGCTTTACACAAACTTTTTATTAGAATTCTAAGGTTTACTGGATTCTTGTTTGTTTGGTTTTTTTTTTATTCTGTAAATCTATTCCTGTTATAGAAAACAGATTAAATAAACAAAAAAGGTTGATAACTTTATTCTGTCAAACTGTCCTTTAAGGACGGTATCATGTCTCTTCTTTCTTCATTGCAATGTTAGGCATCTCCAAAAATACAGTAATTCATGCCGCACTATTCCAAATATCAAGTTAATATACTTAGCATGAATACTGCAGAAACCTTAAATGATACTACATGACTATGCACCTCTCATGGATACATCTTCTGTCTACACTAAAAGCACTTCTAAGCTACAAAAATGGCAGTAAAAATTCATTGCATCATTATAGGACTAATTTAAACTTGTACCTTGATTTTCAGATTATAATCTTCTTGTGTTTAATAGATAATTTCCCAAATTGGATTTTCTGTTCATTAGTCAGGTGCACTCCCTCCATACAGAGGAAATTATTCAGCCCATAGAAGGTACTTCCATGGACTTTAAATAAATGTATCATTAGTAAGAGAGAAACCAACAGATAAGACTGCTTAAGATTTTCCATTTTAACATCACGTTTTCAATTGCACAGAACTTCATAACCACTGGGAAATACAAACTTTGGAGACAGAAAAAAGCAAAAATCTTTCAGCTCTTTTTGACAATAAGATCAGGAATAAAATATGTTTTGTTCCATTTTACAAGACTACAAGACTTTTTTTATATGTGTTCTACCACAGATCTGTAGTGCCATCACAACTGAAGATTTTAAATACAGTGGGGGATACCCAAGAACCACTTTATCTCAGTCTGCCCAACATCTAAATGTCTTTTCAGACAGCAAAAAACTCAAGTAGTAATATTAGCAACTCAAATTCTCAGCAGTTCAGTTCAGGGCTGTGGAGGAGGATTTTTCTGCTATTGCTGTTTCTAACCAGTATGCACTACTGCAAATGCCACCATGTACAAGACCAGCGGTTCTGGCTGTTCTCCAGTTTCTGTGTTCCTGGTGGCATCTGGCAGGTTGGAAGATGACTGGTGCACCTTAAACAGTGAGATATGGAATGACAGAAGTATCTTCCCAATAGAAAAATGCAAGTGCATGACTAGAAAAATCAGTATCAAAACATAGTTGTTTAAGGAAGATAAAAACTGAAGTTCTACACATAATCTAATTATAGCGTTTTCCTAAAGGAGACTTAACTTTGTAATTTTAAATATTTTGTGTATTTTTTTTTATATTATTTGTGTCTACACAGAATAATAAGAGAAACCATTTCTGTGGCAAATTGATGCTATATTCTAAAGCAGATTCGATATGAATGGAGGAATGTCAACAGATAAATGGCATCTGCTTGTCATCATGCACATTTCTCCTTGATTCCATTGCACAGAGCAAAAACTAAGCCATGAAAATACTCTTTTTACTACATTGATCTTTATAGATACAATAAATAAAAAAAGACATCTTTAACATACTTTGTAATTTCGCATACCTGATTGTATGGTGGTAGAACTTGAGAAGATTAGAAATCTTGTACAGTAAAACTGCTCCTGGCTCGGCAACAATCACCTGCTCAATTCTAACCTGCAGAATAAAGAAATACGAGCATCCTTCAGGTCATACATTCTAAAAGTCAACCTCTATGCAACTTCTATATATGCAATAGATGTCTGACTTTTTCAAAATAAATTTAAGCAGAAATAAATTTTAAAAGAGAAGGTCCAGTTAACTATAACATTCTACTTGAAATAAAGTGCTTCCTGGCTGCCAAACATCTGGGTAGAAAACAAGCAGGTGTATGTATTCTTAAAAAAAAAAAAAATCAAAAAAAATCACCAAAACCATCAACTGTTTCCTGACAGATTTTTGTTACAACTTGTTATTGAAAATCTCAAAATGAGACCATTTGATGGATTAATACCAGTACATACTGGAATTCTCCCCAGTGCTGAAGAGCTGCAAAGCTGTAGAATCCCTAAACTACAACAGTTGCTCATTAACATCATGCAGCAATTTAGAACATCCAAACTATTAGGTATTTTACCCAAAAGACAAAATTTCATCTGGATCAATCTCTCCTTCACTTGAAGAAGAGATTATATACTTGCTACCAGTACATAATTAGATACATTTATAACTAACGACCTGCTATGTTAACTGTCTCAACCAGGAGATATTTGCTACACAGACCAAAACAGCGCTGACTGTCTTTATAGTTGGACAGTTGATGTCTTGTCTCCATGGTACACACAGTCTCAATCCACTCATAAAAGGGATCTGGGCACTCATGCAGCAGTGCCAGACAGTGACTTATCGCTCCCCTGTTCTCCCATGTGCCTGTGCGTGAAAGGGCTACACACAAATCACCAGCAGCCACCCGCTCTCCCGAGTTCTTTGTCTGCTGTTCGATGGGGCACGATGTGCAGCAATGCCTTCTCGTCAGAGCCAGCTGCAGGGAGAATTACCTAAGATTATGCTTCCTCAATCCTCTCCCTTTGCATCTAAGTCAGAGACCAAAAACAAAGAATAATTTTTGACTCTTATTCACAAAGCTCAATGCACAAAGTGAGTTTCAGCACTCAGGTTAACTTTGCTCTTCAAGGCACGTGTATATACAGAGGTATATATACAAATACCTATCTCCCATGTTGCACAAAAGGTCACTTGGGCAGGGATACTGAGTATACTCTAGGTGTACAGCAAAAGATTATAAAGCAGCAGGGAAAAAGATGCAAATCAAAACACTGACAAAAAATAAAACCAGTAAGAATTGAAAATAACGAAAAGAATTAAGAAATAGAAAAAGACAGAATAGGAAGAAGGAGAGAAAAAAAAAACCACAACAAAATATTAGGATTAGGAAAGATTAGGAAACAAAAAAGAGAACTAAAAAACAAAGCAGGAAAAGAAGCATTGCTGCTTCCCATACAGAAATCTCCACCGCACAGAACCACAATTTGCAAGTGACTAAACCTAACCTGCTCAGGCAAGTCCTGACTTACAGCTCTTACCATTTCCTAATCCCATGCGTCCTGTATTCAGTTGACCATAAAAGACTATCTGAAGTCTAAGTAAGACATCAAAATAATTTTGTTAGTTTTGACCTCATCTTAAGTGCTGTGGAAAAGTCAAGGACCTTAATTTAAATGGTTTTTAGGGTCCTCCTACTTTCATCTGAAATGAGAGGCCTGTGGTAAGATCTACGACTAGTGACTACTCAAGATTCACTTAGATGCCTAAAACTCAAATCAACTATCAGTAAAAAACGTGGACAATTTATACTGCACACAAGCATAAGCCTTCCTCAAAAGTAAGGAAACTGTATCATATTGTACAATCACATGGAAAGGCATAAACCAGTAGGAAAATTCTACGTAATTCTGTAAGTATTTAAAAGCGCCTGTGGAACTTCTATGACTCAGCTTTTATCAAGCTATTTTATACTTTAGCATCAACTCAAATCGAAGTGACAGGTTTGCAAACATCCGCAGAATTCCACTAGAAAAAGCAGTATACTGTGGTGCCATACAACTACAGCAAAGAGTGTTTTCCCTGAACTCAATGCAGTTAGTTTTCTTCTTGTGGACAATCTTCAGAAAGAACAATGTATTGCAGAAAAGACTCTTCTGAACCGAGTCTATTTTTGTTGTTCCTCTCAACACGACAGCTTGCAATTATCTAACTTAATTGTATGAAGGCTTTTCTGCTTGGGAGTTTTTGGGGTTTTTTTCCTGCTTTTTTTTTTTTTGCTGTGGAAGATTTCCCTAGGGGAAACAATAAGCACTGCATATTTTATATTGAGAAGTCTAGACTGGCAGCGAATTAACGTAAGTTGTATTATATTAAAATACAGAATGCAATGGGAAGTCTTTAATTGTTCTTTTAGTTTTTTAAATTTTTATTAGCACAGTAACTATCAACAACATTTCGGGGATATTTTTACGTATAGCAGAAGTGCACAAGTCTAAAGAGTTTGGCAATAAAAATGAAAGGTAATCTGTACCAAACCGTACAAATTACAAGTACTCAAGACCAAAACACCCTCTGACTTACACAAAGGTTTGATTCTATCCATACTTACTTTGTTGGAATGCACAGAAATACTGAACTCAAACATCAGCATTCAGTATTAACAGAACTAAAGTATGCAAGAAGGACACAGAAAGCTTGGAAAAGATCTTCCAAATAAGCTGTAATAATAGCTTGTTTGTCTAATATGACAAGTGTTTTTCTACAGGTCAAAAACTAAATGCTGTGAAGGATGATCATAATTACATGGCAACAGGCACAAACTGAAACACAGGAGGTTCCCTCTTAACATCAGGAAACATGTCTTTATTGTGAGGGTGACCAAGCACTGGTTTAAGTTGTCCAGAGAGGATGCAGAGTCTCCATCCTTGGAGATATTCAAAAGCCGTGTGGATACCATTCTGGGCAACTGTCTCTAGGTGGCCTGGCTTGAGCAGGGGGTTTGGACCAGATGACATCCAGAGGTCCCTGCCAATCTCAACCCTTCTTTGACTCTGATATTCTGAATGGCACTTTCTTGATTTTTCACCTCTCTTCAGACCTTATCTCTTCTTATCAGGAACGCACATATAGTATTCAGAAGCTACCTGTTAACATTTGAGACTAAGTATTTAGCAACTGGACACAGTTGTTTTAGCTACAGCATCCTAAAAGAAACTTATTGTAGTAGTATTTAGTATACTAGATTTTTATTTTAAAAACACAGATTTATACGCTGCACCATCAGGCAATTATTGGTATCAGCTTCATCACATTGATTATTTTATTTTGTACTTATGTGAAGCACATCTAATCAATCAGAGAGTCAATCATTTGATAGATCATTATTGATTTCTATCAAATGGGTCCCCTAAACTGACTAAGGCTATAGCTTGGAAAAAAAAAAAAAAACACAACTGTGGAGGGATGCAACAAATACAGCAAATCAGGGTAGCATGAAGATGTTAAGTAGGAAATAATTTTTCATGGTCTCTTTCAACACAAGAGCTGGAGTTGTTAAACAAAACAAAACTAAAAAGATTTGAAAAAAGGAGCTCTAAAAAGAGCTGAAACCAGGACATTCACACAGCATACAGTTAAATCATGCAATTCCCTCCTGCAGGTTATGTTGTGAATACCAACAATTTATATCGGCTCGACATATTAACGTAAGGAAAAACTACTGACAGTGGCTATGGCTCAGTAAGTCCACAAACAGGGGAGGAAACTATCCCACTGAAGTATCATGATACAACTGCACAACCTGTACACTTTCCTAAGCATATGCTAATAGTTACTAAGACAAACGAGGTAAATTAAGCCAATTTTTCATTTGACCCACTACAGCCATTTCTATGTTCTTATCCCAAAGCTGAATTTTTGTACATAAGGACTTCTGACTTCTGAACTTTAGGGCAAGTAAAACAAAATCAAGATACAGATTTAATATCCCAGTATCTCTCACATATGGCTATTTAAACCAGATACCTATGAATTACGGAATCTTTAATTTTGCAGGGGTTTATGATGCTCAAAGTTGAGAATCTAACTTTCAACCAAGGGTGATGAAAATGCATTGTAGAGATGGGGACACAGGTTCTGGAAAACCACGACAGAACAACTTTTATATTTAGAAAAACAAAAGAAAATAAAATACTCCACCTTCAGAGGCCTGCAGACACCTTCTGTGATATGGCCAACTACTTCTTGAATATTTTCTTCCACACCTACAGTTAATGCAAACATATGCTAAGATTATGCAAATGTAATTCTCTTTTCTTCAAGACTATAAAACAAACAAGCAAATGTAGGAGCTACTCCTCCATAAAAAGCATTACGAACTGCATGTTTTTTTCTCCATAAGACTAGTTTACACCTCCAGTGAACTTCAAACCCAGCCTTTAAGAAATAGCTGTATGACAAAGCAGAGTCCTGGAGAGTCGTTACCTTATGTTATGCAATTGCTTCCCAGCACAACATAGTGCCTGGGGATTTGAGGGAGAAGCAAGGGGAAGAATAAATGATCTAGCAAGAAACTGTCACAGTAAGGCTCAATATTAGCACTTCATGAAACTAAACAGAACAGAAAAGGCCAGTGAGATGCTCACGGAGCAACAGGACGTACCATTTTGAAAGGCCCGAACCGTGAACGCACGTGTCTGTCCGCGTTCGGTACTGACGTGCTCAGGGCATTATCACAAATTAAATCACGTATGTACCTCCACGCTGCTGTGTGCTGCAGCACCAGCAGACACTTCCTCCCCAGCAGCAACTGAAACTCATCTTTCACAGAACTATATACAAAAGAGAATATTGCTCTATCTTATCGTGAAACACAAATGAATTGTTGCATGGCAACTGGTACTGTCATAAATCAATCAAACTGAAAGCAACAGATCTTCAAGCTCTCACTTCAGAAACAACTCTGAATAGATTTATGGAGACAGCAATACTTTAACTCTAATTTAAAACTTGTCAACAGGAGTTCATCTTCAGATGGGACCCATGCAATGAACAGTAAACAAAACGACTGTGATGCGTGACAGAAATCAGGTGACTTGAAGCTATATTTTGCAGACCTTATTTCAGACTAAAAGAGATTACCTCTGAGAGTAAAAATTATAAAAGATCAGAGATGTGTGCCAGTGTCTCTTTACACCAAGATATGTGAAAAGCCGCAAAAGCAGAAACGACTGAATTCGGTGAGGTGGCTGGAAGAATTTCAGCATACTAAATCGGTAAGATAATAAAAACGTGTTTGTATATTTGAGTATTGACGGTGTGTTATGTAACGACTAGCTCCCAGAAACACCCTAACGATTTACACATTTTTAGTAGGAGCAGCCACACTTTTACTGTTCATCACTATAACAAGCACCTAGCACATTTTTGATAGTGTATGTAGACCAGATTGACTTAACAACAAGTTCTTGGGTATGAAAGTTTTAGCTGCAAAAATAGACAAGTTCAAATGCCAAAGGACATGGAATTACAATCTTGATACATCACATGCTTATGCCTTCACATACATTTTCATGTCCAATTAGAATATTTTAGATTCAGCAAACAGTAAAAAGAAATCTTCCAGCACAACGGGTTATATAACTGTTGCAAGTATCACTACACCACACTGATGAGAAAGAATTATGGAATAAACAATTCTTAGACTCAAAATTTACTTTTAGAAAACAGTTCATTACTGAAGATATGCTTCTGTCTGCCTGCTACACCACGTATTATTTTTCTTTCTGCATCTTGCTATAAGGGAGAGATCCTTCTGGGAGTTCAGTTGGCTTCTGCTCTGCCGCTGGGTTCCTGTTACTCCAGGAAAAATGGGTTTCTGTTGCTCCTCTTAAACAGAATGCCTGCAATCCTCAAGTAAAAAATCTCTGTAAGACTGGAAGGCTCTTGTTAGCAGAACACCTAAGCTCCAAAGAAGAAAACCAGATGCTTTATGCTTGGACAGTACAATGCAAAACAGTTTAACTTTCCTGAACATGTTTTCAGTGCTTAAAATTTTAATAGTATTTTTGGTCAGATTAATTTTAAAGAGTTAACCTTTGTAAGCTTCAAATTTTAAAACTTTTTAAAAGCTATTCTTGCATAGTTGATTAAGGGCTATATAGTTTCTTCTCTTTAAAGTCAAAACTGGGATGGGAACATCTCTCCAAAAATGTGACATGCACACATTTCTTCCACTGGGACCAAATCCACCTCTGTCTCACCTATAGCTGTACATGTGGCTATGCATTTCTGCATTGCTGTGATTTACCACATTCTCCACAGTCTTGAAATTACACAGAGCTTACAGAAGCATTTAAACAGAAATCTGAACTCAGAACAGAGAAGTCGGAATTAAAATAATAAAACCAGTTCCACCTGCAAAAGGCTACTCAAG